GGACTGAAGTATACTATTTTCACTTTCTTTTTGGGGTATTTTTTTCTTTTGGTCTGTTTCTTCTTTTCCAACGTGATTAATATAGAAATACGTTTTACATGATTGTACATATATAACCTAATCAAATTGTTTACTGTCTTAGGAACAGGAGAGGTGAGGGAGAGAAAACATTTGAAACTCCAAATTTAAAAAAAAACAAACGTCATAAATTCCTGGAATTTTTTTAAATTTTCACATTAGTCATGTTGTAAAGAAGAATCAGAACTAATAGGAGCAGCTACAAGAAACAAAACAAAACAGAAGAGGAAAAAAACAGCAAATGGTGTGCTTCGATCTGCATTCAGACTCCATAGTTCTTTTTCTGGATGTGGACAGCATTTTCCATCGTGAGTCTTTTGGAGTTGTCTTAGATCCTTGCATTGCTGAGAAGAGTCAAGTCTATCAAAGTCAGTCATCGCACAACGTGGCTGTTATTGTGTGATATGGTCAGGCCTGTGCTTTAGGGATATCAATTTGACAGCTGAGTGGAAAACAGACTGGATTGGAGAGAGACTTGAGGCAGGGAGAAAAAAGCAACAACCAGCAGGCTATTGCAATATTCCAGGAATGAGGTGATGAGGGTCTGCACCAAGGTGGCTGCAGTGGCATAAGAAAGAAGGGGGGATAAACTAAAGATATATAAAGGTGCAAAAGAAAGGAATTAACCATTGATACAATATGGTGGATGAGAGAGAGGAGTTGAGGATGACACATTGTTAGCCTAGGTGACTAGGAGGATTGGGGATATCCTCAACAGTATAACAGAAGTTAGGAAGAGACAACGATTTAGGGGAATAGATAATGAATTCAGTTTGGGACATGTTGAGTTTAAATTGTCCATGGGAATCCAGTTCAAGATGTCAAAAAGGCAGCTGATGTAAGCCTAGAGGTTGGGAGAGTGGTCAGAGTTGGACAGACAGATATGAGAGTCAGCTGGATAGAGATGATTATTGAAACCATGAAAGCTAATGAGATCAATAAATGAAATAGTGTGGAGGCAGAAGAGAAATGGGCCAACTGTGATCCTTCTTTCTAATCCAGGGGTGGGGAACCTGAGGCCTCGAGGCCATGTGTGACCCTCTAGATCCTCAAGTGTGGCCCTTTGACTGATTCAGTCCTCCCCCCCTCACCCCCATCCATGCCCTTTCTCCCCCCTATAGAATCCATTCAATCTGCGTCACTCCTGTGCTCCTAGGCAAGTCTATTCATCTGAATCTCAGTTTCTTCATCTCTAAAATGGAGATAATATTTTGCACTATACAATAATCACAGGGTTGTTGTGAAGAATTTCATAAATCGTAATACATGTATAGACATAAACTATTACATTTAGAGTGCTGGACTAGATGACCTCTGAGATCTCTTCTGGGCAGTCAGGCTTCTTAGTGCATAGAATGCCAGACCTAGAGTCAGGAAGTCCTGAGTTCAAATCCAGTCTCAGACACTTGCTACTATATGACTCTGGGCAAGTCACTTAAGCCTGTTTGCCTCAGTTTCCTCAGCTGTAAAATGAGCTGGAGAAGGAAATGGCAGACCGCTCCTGTGTCTTTGCCAAGAAAACCTCAAATGGGTCACAAAGAGTGGGACAGGATTGAAAAAACGGAACAATGAGAGGTCCCTTCTAGTTTTACAGCTCTGATTCTTCGATCCTATTACTTATTACTAAGACCGAACTTCCTCAGATTAAAAGGTATCTTACTGAAAGATCAGTCAGACCACAAAGAGAGAGTGAACAAGAGAAACCTATGTTTACAACGGGTCTGTGACCTTACCTAGCTCCGTGCTTGAAGCCAAGCCATGAAACTGATGGATGATAATGGGACAATAACGACAAAAGTAGCCTTTTGGCCAGACCCACTTTATTGATGGAATCTTTCGCTTTGTGTATTTACCACAACCAGCCTTTCCTTTCTTATGATACGTTACTCCCTTCTGTGCATACTATGGTCCAGCCAAGATGGCTTCTTTGTTATTTATATATAACATCCCATTGTCCATCTGCATGCCTTTGCCCTTGATGGGATCCATCCCTAGAACGGCCTCTGGCTCTTGATCTCTAGTTTTCTTTAAGCCTCAGCTCCAGCAACACCACCTTCTATAGCAAACCTTTTTTTTTTTTTGGTGGTTGTTGTTGTTGCTTATTCTTCATTCTTTTTTTTTCTATTAATTTGTTTATTTTTAGTTTTCAACATTCACTTCCCCAATATTTGGAGTTCCAAATTTTCTCCCCATCTCGTCCCTCTCCCCACCCCAAGATGGTGTGCATTCTGAATACCTCTTCCCCAATCTGCCCTCCCTTCTATCACCCCTCCCCCTTCTCTTATCCCCTTCCCCTTCTATTTTTACAGGAAACCTTTTAAGGCTTTTAACCTCACCTTACTCCCAAATCATCTTGTATCTATTTTGTGTGTATGTGTGTGTACACAAATGTTATGTTCACAGTCCATTATAAGACACCTGTGCTCAAAGACCATTTCACTTCTGTCTTTGGATCCCCATTGATTAGCACTCAGTCTGATCACAGCAGGCACTTAACTGAGATAAGATCTGTACAGCCTCAGCACAGGGCTTGTCATCTGGTAGGTGCTTAATAAATACTTATCCAACCTTCTCTCACTTAATTAGTGCTTGATTGTTTAATCAACAATCACTTGATTGAGTGATTTGATTGACTTACAGAAGAATTTCAACCCAAGTGCCTTTACTTTGAAAGGTTTTTAAAAGAATGACACCTTAAAAGGCTATATTCTTCTGGTACTAAGCCCATGATCATGATCACTGTGACAGAAAGCCAAAAACAACCTATAGGGATGCAGCCTTTAGAGGTACCATCAACATTAACGTTCAAAGTCAATGAAGCATAAAACTACTTTTTCCTACTTATAGCCTGGAATCATCACAGAATGGGAGAAAAAATTCTACTGTCTTTACTCTGCCAGAATCCCTAAGATTTCCCCTAATTTCCATTCTCCTTGAAATCTACTAATAAATGCACCCAGAACAACAACAACAAAAAAGTAGAATTACCCATTTAGTGGAATGGCTTCTAAGCCTTTATGGGAAATGGGGCACTATAAAGCACTAGGAGATTTATAGCAAACTTGTCATTAGAGTAGGAGAATCAGTCACCCAAACCAGAAGTACCAGTAATGAATGATGACATACCTCAACATTTGGGAACCTCTGCTGAGCCTTTAGGAGTGCCCCAAGCAAGGTTTCCCAGCTGCCATCCTAAACACAGAAAACCAAAATAATTCCTTTCCATGGGCAAAACATGGGAGGACACATGCATAACAGGTTGAGTAACTATTTCCTCAAGTTAATCACTGCAAGCAAACCTGGGCTATGCCCAGGTATGCATAAACCTATGGAAGGACTACGCATTACCTGACGTCAATATAGTATCTGTGGACCATCATGGAACTTTAGTGACCTAGTCAAACCTAGCCTTTTCACAAGTGAAGAAACCGAGGCCCAAAGAGAATAGATAACTTGCCTAAGGTCAAATGTAACTGGTAGCAGTGAGTCGGCACATAGTAAACATTTGAGAAATGCTTATTGGCTGACTGACTGACTGGTTTACTATCCAGTCACCTAGTCCCTGCACATTCGTCCACTTCCACCCCTAACCCAGTCCTAGCCACTCTTGCTCTCCCTCCCTGTTCCCCAAGTGCCGCTTGTCTCCCACCATCTCTACCCCCAATGCGCTATTCAGGAAACAGACTTCTTTCTTGCTATGGGACTGCGTTAGCTATGTGGGGTTTGTTTTCCTCAACTGTAAAATAAAAAGTCTGGACTAGATGACCTCTAGGTCCCTTCCAGCTCTGAATCTCCGACCCTATAAAAATAGGAGGGAATGTTTCTAATAACGATCAGACTGTGTTCTCTGTACTTTCACTTTCCCCTAACCAATCACTCAGCAAACATTTATTGACCCACTATTGTGTCAGGCTGAGGGACGTAGTCAGGAGGAAGTTAACGACCTTGACATACACTGGCGCCGTGCCCCTCCCCAAATGCACCTGCACGGTCCAGCAAATTCTCATTTAATACTATGCAAGGGCCAAGCTGCCTTATTCGAGGGAGTTTCTTCATCGAGGTATTCCTTATACCAATGAAATCATAAGCCCAAACTCCATCCCGCGAGCTAGTAGCTAGGGATATACCAAGACAAAAGTGAAGGTGGCTGTCCTCACGGAGCTTACACTCTATAGGGCATAGACAACACGTGCACATATAAGTATATAAAAAAGATGTAAACACCCACTCTCCTAACGCCACACTCTCTCCTTCTCCCTCTGCTCTGTTGGCCTGCTTTTTCTCCTGCCCAGTCTTTTCCAGGCTGAATATTAGCCATTTCCACCAGTCTCCATCACTGAATCCATTCACCCCAAACCCAGGCAGAGCTCGACCCACCCCAAGCCAAGGGCTCCTGGGGGAGGGGGAGGGCAAATCCAACCAGAGCAAACTTGTGGGGGCGGAATGAAAGCGGCGGGTCTGGAGCTGCCCAGGCTAGCACCCGTGAAGTCTCCACATCCCAGGGCCGGGCGGCTGGAGTAAACGGACAGCCCCGCGTCCGCGCTCAGCGGAGCTTCCGCAGCGTGCCCTGCCGGGATCCTTCCAGGCCGCCCAGCTCGACCAGCCCCGCGCCCCCCTTCCCTGCTGCAGTGGTAGCGCCCGAACGCTCCGCGTCACCCATTGTTTACAAATCGAACTGAACCGGCTGAGCTCCAGTTCCCGGAGCTGCGGCGGCGGCGGCGGCGGCGGCGGCGGCGGCGGCAGCTGCGCGCTCGGTGGCCCCGCACGCGGCCGGCTCGGTCCCGGACCGCCGCGCCTTGTCTTCGGGAGCTGTCTCCGGAGCCCGGCCGGGAGCGAGGAGCGGCCCGAGAAGCGGCGGCGGCGGCGGCGGCGGCGCCGGAGGAGGAGGAGGAGCTCCGGAGTCCGGGCTGCGGACCGAGGCCATGCCGTGCCGGAGGGAGGAGGAGGAGGAGGACGAGGACGACGAGGCGGCGGCGGCTGGAGTGGAGGAGGAGGACGCCGAGGGGGAGGGGGAGGAAGAAGAGAGCTTCCTCCTGCTGCAGCAGTCGATGACCGTCGGGGGCTCGGGGGACGTGGACCGGCTGGTGGCCCAGATCGGGGAGGCGCTGCAGCTGGACGCGGCGCACGGGAGCCGGCCCGCCCCCCGGGGGCCCCTGGCGCTCAAGCAGCAGTCGCCGCCGCCGCCGCCGCCGCCGCCGCTGCGACCCCAGGTCCTGCAGCTGCTGCTGCCTCCGGGGCCGGCTTCGGCGGCCCTGCAGCCCTCGGGACCGCTGCAGTGCGCGGGGAGCGGGGCCCGCGCTGCCCTATCCTGGGCGAGCGCCGTGGGCACCTCCTCGCAGCCTCCGCCGCGGGCGCCGTCGGGTCCCTGCGCCCCAGGGGGGGCCCCGGCCCGGAGCAGCGCCTGTGGCCCGCACGTCTGCAAGCGGGGCTTCCCGCAGTCGCTGCCGGGCCCGTGCCGGCGCGCCTGGCTTCGGGGCGCCGCCGCCTCCCGGCGCCTGCAGCAGCAGCAGCACCAGCACCAGCACCACCAGTACCGGAACCGGGGGCAGCCGGGGCTCCGGGCCGGAGAGGATGACCCCCACCAGTTTCTGCAGCAGCTTGTCCTCTCGGGGAACCTCATCAAAGAGGCCGTGCGACGACTTCGGAGAGCTGTGGCAGTAGTTGCTGGCGCCGTGGCCCCCACTGCCCCCAGCGCCGGCCCCTCCTGCGTCTTTGCCTCCGGGGGCGGGAGGGACTCTATCTCCCTGCAGCCCTCGACGACCGGTCTGCTCTAACCGGGAGTAAACCTGGGGCACATACCGGCTGATGGCATACTGGTCTCCAGCAGCTACTGAACGCGGCAGGCCAAGAGGCAAGAAGAAGAGGGGCGGCTGATACCCTGGGGCTGCCGCCCCAAAGACTGACATGGACAAACTTGGGGTCCAGGGGAATGGGTGGGGAGACAGAGAAAAGGGGCCTTCTGCTTAATTGGAGGCAAACAAGGAACCCACAGCTTTAGCGATTGGGGAGGGGAAGGTAAAGGGGTATTAGAAAACAAAGTTGATGGGGTGGGTCTGGGTGGTTTACCTTGTATGTTACTGTCAGCCTCGGGCCTGAGGGCAAATACCCCAGTCAGTTCGGGATAAATTAATATGGCAGCTATTACTTTCATTGCCTGGGCCTAATTTTTCCTCTGAGGTCCAGTGATTGTACTAAAAGTATGGGGATCCGATGGGTTCAAAAGACAGGGGTTTTTATATGATAACACTTGAAAACTGTTATGTGCGTACATTTCTTTTTTATTTTGGGAAATGCTTAAGGAAAATGGTGCTACAGTTGCATTGGGAAGAAATATTGGGTGGAGAATAGTTTTGGGGCTGGATGGGTTGAGTGGGACCTATCCCATTTTCTGTTGTGAATGGGCAGTTGGCTTTTCCCGGGAGGGAATGAGAGGAGAAGAAAGGGTGGAATTCACTAGGTGGGGGTGGGAAATAGTTGACGTTAAATGCTTCTTGCAGTCTGAAAAGGCATTTGAGAATCTGTCCTTCCCAGTCTGTTTCCTTCAAGGTCACTGTTTCCCACAAGCTATGTTGTGACTCTCCTGGCAGGAGAGTAACTGTATCCTGGCTCGTTCTGCTTGTACTCTAAGCGGAGCCCTGTGTTGTGCAACTGCTGGGTGTCTCCTGAGGACATGCACGCTGTGCCTACTAGTGGGGAGGGGATGGTGGATGCGTGCTTTCGGCGCATAGTCCTTTTTAGAGCTCCTCCTGCCGTTGGCTACAGCTCTTGGCAAGGGATCAAGATTTCCTAGAAACTGTTAGGAAAAAAGCGCTCACTTGTGTTTCTTTTTCTTCCACTGTGACCCTCCTAGCGTCTCTCTCCTTTCTGTCTAGTTTTCGAGCCCTCCTTTGGGGTTCCTCTATCGGGATGTTTGTATGTGATAGAAAATGAGGGTGGGAGGGTTTAGAGGAAGGACGTGCAGACTTCTAATGGCCCCTCTGGAGCCTCTTGCAATAATAGCCGCGATTCCCTTGATGGAGGTGGCTTAGTTCCTTTTCTCTCTCCATAGCTGCTTTTCTTTTGTGAGTGAATGAAACCAGTCTAAAAATGTGACCCTCTGAATGGAGGAGCTGCAGGGCTCACCATTGTGAAATATAATGAGGTGTTGGAAACACACCGTCCCTGTGATTTAAGGTAGCCGAAGAACAGTTGTAAGAGGTTGATTGCTTGACTCATTCAGATACGGTTGTTGAAATACTGGTGGTCCTGATTTAATAGGATTTATCTTTTATTGAAATGACTGAATAAACCTGTTTTTTTTTGTTTGTTTTCATATTGTAGTGTTTCTGGGTGGGAAAGTAAACATCTGATACCCTTAACAATGAACAGATTTGAAATGCATCCCATGGTGCCTGTTTTTAAAAGTTCATGGAAGGATGTGTTTATTAAGCAACCTTTGTTTTGGGTTAAAATGGGAAATAACAGTGTGAGTATACAAGATGAAGAGAAAATGAAATAGAATCAAATAAAAGATACAACCTGACGAGTTCTCAATCAACTAGTATTTATTAGTCCCATGTTAATAGTCAGGCACTGTGCTGAGGGACAGGGATACAAAGAAAGGCCAGTCCTTACATTCACAGTTCAGTCTAATAATGGAGACACCATGCAAACAGCTGTACATGTGTGGTATATACAGGATAAAGGGGGGGGGGTGTAATTTCAGAGGAAAGGGAAGCATTAAGGGAGAGCCAGGAAAGGCTATATGCAGAAGAAGGTGGGACTTCAACTGAAATGTGAAAGAAAACCAGGGAAGCTAGGTGGCAGATATGAGGGAAAGCATTCCAGATATGGGGACAGCTATGACTTGAAGAGAAGTGGAACCAGCAAGCAGGCCAGTGTCACTGGATCACAGGTTATGTAGAGGGTAGGAAGGTATAAGAAGACTGGAAAGGGGGCAGCAAGGTGGTGCAGTAGAGAGAGCACCGGCCCTGGAGTCAGGAGGACCTGAGTTCAAATGCAGCCTCAGACACATAACACTCACTAGTTGCGTGACCCTGGGCAAGTCACTTAACCCCAATTGCCTCACCGAAAAAGGGAAAAAAAAAGTCAGAAGAAGACTGGAAAAGTAGGAAGGGGCCAGGTTATGAAGAGCTCTAACAGCCAGAGGATTTTTTATTTGATTTTGGAGATAATAGGGAATCACTGCAGTTTATTGATTATGGGGAGAGGGGTAAGGTAATATGGTCAGATTGGTGCTTTAGGAACATTTTGTCAGCAGAGTGGAGGATGAATTGGAGTGGGGAGATTTTGAAGTACAGAGGTCAGGCAGCAGGCTATTGCAGTAGTCCAAGAGTGAGGTAATGAGGACCTGCCCCAGAGAAGGTTATGGTGTCAGGAGAGAAAGGGGAAGGTGGGGAAAGGAAGGTTATATATGAGACAGTAAGGAAGAGAAGAGTTTGGGGAAAAGATAGTTCAGTTTTGGACATGGTGAATTTCAGCTGGCTGTGGTACGTCTAGATTGAGATGTCAGGGTGGGGAATCTACAGTTCTTTGACTGAATCCAAATTTCACAGAAGGAATCCCCTTAATTAAAGGGCCACACTTGAGGACCTAGAGGGCCACATGTGGCCTCAAGGCTGAAGGTTTCCCGCTAGATAGTTGGAGAATGATGGTGATGGGAGAGTAAATCTGGAAGTCATTTGCATAGAGATAATTGAAACCATGGGAGTTGATGAATTCATCAAGTGAAATAATATAGAAGAGGGTCCAGGACAGAGCCTTGGGAGACATCCACACTTAGCAGGCATGACTGAGTACTAAGATCCACCAAAGGAAACTGAGAAGAAGCAGCAGATAGAAGGAAAGCCAGGAGAGAGCAGGGTCCCAAAAACCTAAAAGAGAAGAGGGTGATTGATAATGTCAGAGGCTGTAGAGAGATCAAGGATTGTTGTTTTTCCTTTGTCCTCAAAGGTGATGACATCAGGAAGGTGATGCCATGACTTGCAAGTGAATTGGATTTAGGTGAGGGAGGGCTATGCAGAGTCACTGGCCTCACTCTGTCTTCCAGAGCCATCTGGGTCCAATGGCCAGATATAGATCAGGAGGACTGGAGAGGGATAAGGATTGAGAAAAGGCCCATTAGGTTGTGCAACTAAGAGATCATGCCTAACTTTGGAGAGAGAACAGTTTCAATTGAATGATAGGTCCAAAGCCATATTGCAAAGATAAAGAGAGTAGGAGGAAGACATTCTCAAGTTTAGCCACAAAAGGGAAGAGTGAAATAGGATGATAGCTAGTAGGATGATAGCTAGTAGGGGTGGACAGAGTGAGTTTTTTTGAGAATGGGGGAGATGGGAGTGTTTTTTGTAGGCAGCAGGGAAGTGCAGTCGTTAGGGTTGATAGAGGTGGAAATCTAATAGAAAATAGGATGATGTGCATACAGAAGAGTTTGCCTTGGCAAGAAAGACTACCTCTCCATGTGTAGTACAGGTGGAAATAGTGGCAGAAAGCATTTAATTATGAGGAGGGGAAAAAAAGTGCTTAGTGCTTATTTCAGTGAAATAGGCAAGATTTTTAGTTGAGGGAGTGGGTGTTTTGGGGAGCTATGGGAGATTTTAGGAGGGATGAAAAAGCTTGGAAAAGCCATGGTTGTGAGTGTGAATCGATTAAGGAGGTGTAAAAGGATTGCTTTGCCACAGTGAGGGCCCAGTTGAGATTCCTTAACACGTAGATCTGGTCAGCACGCTTTCATGATTTTCTCTAGCTTTTCAGCAGCTCCTAAGTAGAAGCGATGTGGATAGTGGTAGTAATCCAAGGTGGGGTTTGGCAGGGGCAGAGTCTTCCATAATAAGGCAAGGGATCTGGGGACAGTGTGGAGTCGAGCTAGTTCACCATGGGGTCAAGACAGGGAAGAAAGCCAGTGTAGCCAGCCTGGAAAAGAACTGAGGTGTGGAGGGTTTGAGGTTGTGGTATAGACACAACAGGATTTGTACTTGCAAGGCAGAGGGAGAAGTGCAATGACCAAAAATTCTGATCAGATAAAGGAATTTCAGAGTTCATGAGCATGGCTATGGAACACGGTGGGTGATCAAGGCAGGACCATCTCTATGTGTAGTTGTGGTGGGACGGAGGAGTAGATCACAGGAAATGAGTAAGTTGAAGAATTGGGAGGTTAAGGATTTGAGGGAATGTCAGTATGTATCTTGAAGTTCTTTTGTGTGAATCTGGGAGTGTTAGGGAGGAGAGAAAGACTACATGAGCTAGGTATTCATTGAGGAAGGTAGGAGAGTGTCCTGGAGGTCTTTAGACAGCAGCCACCAAAGTCTTGGTTGGGTGATAAATATAGATTGAATGAACCAGGAGAAATTTCTGAGTGGTGGTGACAGAGAGAATCAGGAAATGTCAATGGAAAACAAAGAGTAATCTATTCTCCCACCTCCACCAATGGGTCAGGGGTGAGTGAAAGGCTAGCCAGAAAATCAGGAAGAAGCCAGGTCTCAGTGAGTTCAAGAAGATGAAGGGAGCAAGAATGGGAAAGATTTAAGAAAAAATGTTACCTATGGAGGAGGCGTTCCAGACAGCACATTGGAAGGGTTGGGTAGCTTTAGAGTGGGAGGTTAGAAGGGACTAGGTTGAGAAAAAGACAGGAGTAAGGGACTGGACGATGGGGGATGGAGACTGGGGTTTGCATAATGGCAGCCATGGATTCAGAACCACTGGGATGGGGCGGGATTATGTAAATTGCTGAGGAAAGTTGGGGTAGGTTATTATCCATAGGAGTGCATCCTCAAGTGGAGTAGTTTCTGGGTGTCAGACGGCTGCATGTGGCTGGGTAAAGGCAGTGGAGAAGGGGGATGGTGCTTGTGTGCAGAGAATGCCCAGGTAGGGAGCTGGAGGTGACTGAAGAGGGTACCTTAAAAGCTTCCCTTTGGAATGTCAAGGCGAGGCAAGTCCAATTCTGTCTGAATAGGGACAGTGTTTGAATGGAAAGACCACGGAGGTGAGATTCACGGGACCTAGTTGCAAGTGCAAGTTCCGACAGGAACTCAGTGGGGGTTAGAGTTAGCAAGGTCACTACCTGGATAAATGACCTTGAGGAGAAGGCCCCCTCCCTTAATGCTGTCTCCCTTGGGGGCCAGAACGACCACCATGGCTTCAATGATCACTTCAATGCAGTTGCTCCCAAATCTCTTATCTCTAGCCTGGATAGTCTTACAACTGCATGCTGGGTAATGACATCTGGGTGTCTCACCGTGACTTCAAATGCAGCATGTTCCAACTGAACTCATTTTCTCCAAAACCTGCCCTTCTTCCTACCATCCGTATTTTTTTCAGATGTTGCCAAATCCTTGTAGATTCACAGGTACAGTAATAATAGCTAGTCTTTATTTAGCTCCTGAGGGTTTTAAAATGCTTTACATACTAGGTTACATTTGATTCTCACAACAATCCTGGGAGGTAGGCGCTATTATTATCCCCATTTTACAGATGAGGAAAAAGAGGTTAAGTGACTTGCCCAGGGTCACACAGGTGGTATTAAGGGTGGGTTTCAAATCCAGGCCTTCTTACTCCACTGTCCACTGTGCCATGGTGCTTCATTCCACTTTTGGTCACCCCTTCTCCCCAGCCCTTGGGACTCGTAGTCTCCTCAACCTTACCTGGACATTTATGCTAGGCTTCAAGCTGATACACCTGCCTCTAGTCTCTTCCCTTTCCATTCCCTTTTTTCACATGATGGCAAAATAATCAATGTATAATTACAGCTTGGTTACTCCCCTATTAAAAAAATATTCCATGGCTTCTTGTTTACCAAATCAAATTTGATCTGGCATTCAAGATCCTACTAAGGTTTATTCCAACCCTCCTTTCAGCTTTAACTCATATTATAGCTGTTAACATGTACTAAATTCTAGCCATTCCTAGATCTCATTGTGTTCTCTCTGTCCTTGGGGGATTTGTGCAAGCTGTCCTAAGTTCTAAAATGGTTTCCTTCACATGTCTGCCCAGTGAACTCTCCATCCCTTCAAGGAGCTGCCTTATCTCCCCTCCCACCTCCACCCTATACTGTAAATGATTTCTAATATGTCTCCGGACCTCTCCTATAGATGTATGCTAATGTATTATAGTTATTGGTGGGGAAGCTAGGTGGTGAGGTGGATAGGGTGCTGGGCCTGGAGCCAAGAAGACTCATCTTCTTGAGTTCAAACCTGGCCTCACACTTTCTAGCTGTATGAGCCGGGCAAGTCACTTCACCCTGTTTGCCACAGTTTCCTCATTTGTAAAATGAGCTGGAGAAGGAAATGGCAACCTACTCCAGTATCTTTGCCAAGAAAACCCCCAATGGGGTCAGAAAGAGTCATACAAGACTGAAACAACAACACTTATAATTATTTGCCTTAG